TGCTCCTGCTCTGGCTCCTGCTCCTGACCTTGCTCCTGAACCTCCTATTCCAATCAGCCTTTAAAGGCGGGCATTATTTCAGGGAGATTATCTGAGCAGCGTCTTTATTTTTTCAGTGTTTGATAAACCGTGGAAGAGGTATTATGTATGTCGTACTTGAACATCTCCAGTTCTACAGTCCCGAAGGATCTTCACAGCAGAGGAGGGCCAGGCTCTCATCTTCGCAGATGGCAATGCTTGTGGTGATGATGGCGACGCTGACGAAAGTGTTGTTGTTGACTTGAAGATACTTGCAGTGCTGATGAGGTGGCGGAGGATGATTTGTGCAAATGGCGACACAATAATGCATGTGGTGCTGATGCTGGTCATGATGTTCAGCATCGCTTGTTTTGCGAGCAGAGTCCCCAATGATGTCTTTCCTTCGTTCTTGTAAAGCGGGTTTGGGATCGGGACAGCCAGGATGTGTTTGAATGAACATGGGTCGGTGTTCTCTTCCACCGAGCAACAGCATCGGCGCCAACATCTTCAGTGCCGGTATTTACAAAAAGGGTTTCGTCGAACAGCGCAGTCGACTACGACCACCGAAGCAAAGACTCCGATGACAACCACGAAAACATCGGGCTCTGTACCAGCAGCAGCAATCGCTGAAGTGGCCATACCGGTCCGATTTGTTGTTCGTCATTATACACCGCTGCCACTAAAGCCATCACCGCCACCGCGCTAACTGCCCACCGCCTGTTTCATCATCGCCATCGATCTCGCCATCCAAAGGTTTGTTTGGCCATCGCTGTGGCTGCTGCTGCAAGGGCTGTTGCTGAAGCTTTTGCTGCTGCTGCTGCTGCTCTTGTCGTTGTTGGTGCTGGTGGTTGGGATGGTGGCTGGGGTGGTTGTAATCCTGATGGCACCGCTTAGGACTTTTTGGGACATGCTGCTAGGATAGAAATGCCTGGTATCTGAGATGTCGAATAATCGGGTGTTCGGTTTGCTTGGGGCCTAGGGCATCGGGGTGTTGAGATAGTGCCGCATTCGAACATGGGGCCCAAGGCGAAACAACTCTACTACTCCCTGGTCGCACTGTGCTTGGCAACCTGTGTGCGCGTGTGTGCCTGTGGATTCAGACTTGGAGATGCTTTGGGGGCCAGGATGTTTAGGATGAAGGTGTCGGGGTGTTTTGGCCTAGTGAGCTGCAGATGTCAGGAGACTGTCATTGAGCTTCTGGCTTCATGAAAGCCCTGCATTCTGGATCCGCGATGTGCTGGTAGGTTGTGAGGGCTTTGTTGTGTTACGTTTGTCTTCCGGCATGACATCGTCAGGATCTTCACCGAATTCAGCATGTGTACACTGTTTAGCTTGAGCTCGGCATTTTGTGGATTTCTCGGGAGGGTGCTGTTTTTGGCTTTGCTTGTCGGCGAGGTTGGACACGAGTTAGCGGCACAAACATGACTGACGACGTACTTGTCTGACAACTAACTACTGAGGCCACTGTTGTTCCTTAAGTCAAGCCCGACAGTCTCTGTTGTGCAACCCATGAGCGTATCATGTCGACCATGCCCGTTGTTTTCAGCATAGCGCTTGCAGCAGATGCATTTGGTGTTTCCCACTCCTGTGTTGCATGATTCTGAGCAGTAGACGATGAACCCTGAAATTTACAGCCCACTTGCGCTGCGAGCTGCAGCGCACAGGCTTTGCCAAAGTCGAGATGTTTAAACAGTCTGTGACTTATGAACTCCGCAATGACAAATTCTTCTGCCATAGACCCGGACAAGACATAAAGCAACCAACGCTGGCTGCCTGCGATGCTGAAGCGAAACTAAGCTCTTCAACCACGACCATGTACCATGTAATTCACATGTCGCGTACATCCTTTTAACACCCTATATGCCTATACGATACTGGTTGCTACCTCAGGGAGTGCGAGATTGATGACCGAGCACGGCGGTGTAGTTCGGGGGTTTAGGGTGTGAAGAGCTTCGACTCGTTGTGGTCTTGAAACATCGACCTCTCCGGACAGATGCAATTGTGGGAAGACTTTTCAGTTTGCCATCGAGCGCGCGGTTTAAACTCCGATCGAATAACTGAGGCCGTCGCTGGTGCAATGAACCAGCAAACTGAGGGCTGGTCTAACAGACCTTTTTAACCCCTCTCAGCATTCGTCGTGCCATTTTTATCTGCAGGTAGCCAGAGGGTGGCAATCCAACAATTTCGAGTCTCAAGACAAGGCGCTATCAAGGCCATCCGTGCCTCTGTGCACAGGCTGCAAGCTAGCATCAGCCGTTCCGGTCATTTGTTGCAATGTCGTATATATTTCACCGATGTCTGATATGTCTCTTTGTTGCAGGAAGGCATCTGCGAACTTGTTTCCAATGCTTCGAACGAGCCTTTGCGCAGTCTCCTGGAGCCCATCGCTGCACGGCTGTCTGCTTGCCGATATGGTGCTTGAACATTTGCTCGAACAGCTCAGGTTCATGCATTCAGTGTCTAACATGAGGTCAGGTGAGGCAGAATGCCGACTGCAGAGTTCAGAACCTGTCTCGATTCAGAAAGGCCTTACAGCCGTTCAGTTCTTTTACACTCCTCGTTCTGCTTTCTTGTTGCCTGACAGAGGAAGATGCCCCTGCAAACTATGGTCATAAGTTTCAGCGCAGGAACATCCCAGTACATTTAGTGACAGCATACTAGGGGTCCAAGCGGTTTTTGGTCTCCCGTGTAGACCCCTGATTTTTGTCCGTTCTACCTATCCTGGAACATGGGATAACCATATAGGGATCGTAACACTCTTACACTAGGCCATTGACAAAATCACGGGTCTACAGCATGGCATGTGTGGACACATGCTGACTCCTGGGCCTCGCCCCTGATGGATCCAATCGGACAAGAACGTAAGATCTTGGGACAGGCTCGCAAGAAGGTCAAATGAGACCCAAAGGTCCATAGGATGAAAACGCAGCCACTGCTCGCCGTTTCCGCTCGACCTTCTTGCTGCTTCGCTGATACTTCTTTTTCAAGTTTCACTTCGCCAGCAGTCTAGATTTCTGAGACAAGGCGTGGCGTGGAGTGCGTGGCAAGGGCACGTTTCCATCCAAGCCGAACCTGGGCCCAATCCCGGTAGCTAATTATGGGAGATGGACCTGGGAATGCCACACTTATTACAGCATCCAGGAGTAGCCCCACTGCACGCTGCACGCCTTAAGCCTCTCCTGTGGAGCCTCTCCTGGTGATCCAAAACGGCCATAGGCCCTCCACCGGCTTGCTTTTCTGCGCACGCTCGCTCCCCAGCCGGTTCCTGTGAGTTGCCCGCAAAGCTTGTTCAAAAAGTGCCTCCATCATGTGGAGATCCGTAGGCAGTGAATATGAGACGAGATGTAGATTCGATGTCGCATTGCTTGCTTGCTCATGTCGTACTTCCAACTTGTGACACGCAAGGATGTTGAATCGGTGGTCACGCGATGGACTTGCGCATATGCTGTGGACTTGCGTCCTTGACCAAAAACTGGTTGAACTGGCAGCCAGTAACACATTCCCCCGTCCCGCGCGCTGGCAGAGACATTTCATTAAAAGGCCAAGTTGCAAACTCCACTAGGATGTGTAGGTTCAGAAACGTAACATACGTATCGCGTATGTATATATGTATGCAGGATGAACATAATGACATGTATTCATGTACACATATATGCAGAAAGACATCCACGCATCGCATGCACACACATGCACGCACGTCTGTGAGTATATACACCAGACAGCTGCGCGTAATGCCTGCATAACTGTCATAACTGTGGATAGCCTTTCCAATGAGGCAAAGCAAGCCAAGACAGACCGAGACTCCTAAACCCAAGGGCCCTAAACCTGATACCGTTGAACAGCACCCACGGATTTTCTCAAGCGCCATATGGTGCGTCGTGTTGCCGGACGTCGCAGTGCTCGCCCGCGGCCAAACCTCGCCTTAGCAGCAGTTGCTGCGGGGCCGCACGATTCCCTATAATATTGTAGCCTGAGTAGTTACTGAATAAAACTATTTCTTGGGGTTACTTATTGCCCCTATTGCAGGGGCCAGGGGCCGTGGACCGCAGAGTTGTGCAATTCTATCATGACTCAGCCCTGTCAAAAAAGCAGTGGCCTTGAAGCAAACGTCGCCGCTAGGCAACACCGTTGTCGAGTTCAAGGTCTCATGTTTTTTCTCGCTTTGAGGTTGTCGTCCTTCTGGGAGCTGCGCGAAGCTTTGTACCAGCACCCCTTCAGGACGAGGCTGCCGGACTCCAGACGGGACCATTATGTATCAGCGAAGCGCAGGGCGTAGCAAGCAGGAGTGCATGATCGCAACGTGTTCGCAACGCACTGACAATGTCTTGGCAGGTGCACATCTCCAGGAGACAAGCCTTGTCTACCGCGCGATGCACTCAGCTTTCGTGCAGAGTTTGTGTCGCCCATCAAGTCTCAGAACTGCATGTTTGCGTACGAGTGCACCAGCACCAGACGTGCCCAGAACGTTCGAATGATTGGAGTCTACATGCATTGTGTGCAGTGGTTTAGGACTGAAAGCCTTGGATGCTCAAGGCTCTTTGGTGCGACAGTTGCAGCTGCTCCGGAATTGTGTGCCTTGGATGCCAAAGTCAAAGGTTGTCTCCACCACCAGTCGCGGACAATAACATAGAGGCCTGAATAATTCGGAGCCCTGTTCCTGAAGTTCCTTGTTATAATTGGTTATAGTACGTAACATATGTCCCACATCCCAATTCTGATTGTAAAGCCCCTGTTTATCAGTCGAGTGCACGCCCCAACTCTCAGCGTCGAATGGGCCGCTCGACGGTGTTGCTCACAAAGGCAGAGCATCTCCCCTTTGGCGAGCGCTGCCTGAGGAATGCGCACATGTGTTACAACCCAACAGCTTTGCCATTCGGCTTGAGCCTACATATATAGTTCAGCATTGGTCAAGTCTTATGTCGAACGAACTCGTTAAAGGAACCTTGTTTTGGCCTGCAGGACGACACAGAGCAGCCGAAGCACTTGTACCCGGCGCGTTTTACAGCTTACTTGCTTCTTGGCGGAAAGTCGGGGCATTTGAGGCATGCGGCCCCTAGCGTCGAGTGCAAAGGTGTGGACTTGGCCTTTGGAATGTCTGGCAATCTGATTCCAGAGGCTTATAGCTTTAAATGTTGACATGTCTGCTGAGGACACGCTTCCTGTTGAATTTTGACCCAGACTTTCAGGCTATGTGGAAGGAGCACTGGCATTGAACAGTGGCACTTCCGCTCAAGTAAGTGTTCGATCCTGCACTCCCCTGTTTTGCAGCTGGAGCGGAGGCATGCGGAGGTAGGATCCGTTCGAGGGCCCTGAAGAAGTTACCATGGTGCGCTGCAGGACAAGGGCGAGCCAAGCCCCCTGGAACAGTTGGAGTCCAAGGAGTTCCGTCGCGATGCAAGATCCTTGCCAGTGGTCATCTCAATGATGTTATGATTGCTGTAATTGTTGAGAGCGGCTTGGTACAGGCTTTACAGACAGTAACTGGATGACTTGGGGGCTTGGCAGTGGCTGAGAGACACCGGATCCTGAATTTGTCATCACCCCCCGCGAAGCCCCACACCATGTGCTCGAACCGAACCCCTCCTCATCAACAGGAGGACATTAAATGACCCTAAACACGCAGCGGAACCAGACATCGGGGACAACAGCATGACCAGACGGACATCATTTGCTGCTTGGGATCTTGGCTCAGGATTTGCACGCTTCGCACGCACCGTGGAGCTGGCATTATCCAGCTATGCGCCTCCCAGTGGTGGTAGCCACAAGCTTCTAGTGACTCGGCTGCAGACTGTTGGTCGTTCTGTCTCGCCCCTTTTCATTCTCTCCTCCCTTCCTCCCTATTTGCCTCACTTCCAGAGGATTGTTTCTCTCCAGAGGAGCAAGGAGGTTCAGACTATGTAAAGCGAGAGGGCGAAGTATGAGCATACTGTTGTGTGTGCAAGCACTGCTTTATCCACGTGTGCAGAAAGCGGTGTACACATACATACACACACACACATGCATGTATAGATGTATGTATGTATGCCTGTTTTTAAGTACATATACATATGTATTTTGGTACTTCGTACTTTCTTCGTTGTTGGTAGGTTTATGCGTCTCAGACCAGACCTGCAGGAGGCAAGATAACTTGGGAAACTTGGGGGGACATGTGGATTTGATGAAGTCCTTTCCTCATAAAAGACCGGTTGGAGTCGACAGAGAGCGCATTATTCCTCCTGAGTAGGTCGTCTTGCATATCCCCGCATAAGAGATAGGCACCGAGTTCTTTCAGAGTTTTCGACTGCTACCCATACATACAGTAAAAAAATAGTCTATGGTATAGTACAACAAGCCATGTATGTCATGCCAGCTGCGGCGCGCATGTCGAGCTAGCCGACTTCAGGAGGTGCTGCTGAAGGACTACGGAGGCTCAACCGAGGCGAAACGGCAGCGCCTGGGTGACATATTGGAATAGTTTGGGAAGGAATAAGTCATTGTACGATTCTTGAGGGTCCCTTGACATGGTTGTAGTTGTACAAAGAATAGACCCCATCATGAAGGCTTCTGAAGTACGCTCTGGGAGTTCCCGGCTTCGCCAAGATTCTGTGCACAGAGCTCCTAGTACCCCTGCAGAGCCCTGTTCGAATCCTCAAAGCCCTTCAAGAATGCTTGTCGAAGCTTTTGCACCCCTTATAGCAGCCACTTGTTGCAACAATCAGTTGCAGGGTGCTTTTAAATTATGTAAGCCTGGGACATGTGCTTGTCAGCATTCTAGGAGGCAGGACAGCTCGCATGGAGGCCCTGGCTTCTATTGCTGTCGGGTTGCTAGGTTCCGCAGTAAAGAGCGGACACATCGGTTAAGCTGGCTCGTTCAAGGTCCTGAGGTATAAGACCTGGCTCGATTTTCAGATGGACCAGCACGCTGACGTAGCTGCTAGAGTCCTAGTTGAAGAGCGGCTGGCTTTCGGAAAAGGATACGACGACGCAAGCGATGATAGGTAGGATCGGCTCGATAACGAGTTGGTTGGGGCTTTGCACGTTGATCCCAAGCTGAGGATATGCATTCTGCCACTGGGCTGCAGATTGGACATGCTGCGAAGCATCCAGCAAACTGGGAAGCTTCTTTCTGACATTTTTTTGCTGCCAGGTTTTCTCTACTCCAGGACAGGGTCGTGTCTTGGAGCCTTGTGCCTTTGCGATCCTCTTCGTAGAAGCTGATCGTGCTAGAAGTCAGATGTTGAAAAGAGAGAGCAAGGGAGGTCGAGTCTCTGCCGGCAGCCGAAAAAGTAAATACGCCATGGCGGTCACGCTGCAGGCTTTCATATAAACCCTAACCGTAGCTCACCTGCCCGGATCATTCAGTGTTTTTTCGTAGTACAGCCAGCCTCGTAAAATTGGCAACGGTATATTATGGCCATTATGGCAGATCATTATATTACTATTGTAATGTTTTATTAACATTGTTTTTAGTATCAAGAAGCCCTGAGGAATGGTCATTGCCCGTATGTCGTTCATATCCGGCCGAAGCTCGCAGCAACCAGCTGCGTGCATTGGGCCAGAAATGTTTAGATGGTTGTTCTTAAAAACCGGGGTGGGGTGTGGTGGGGTGTGGGGTATGGGGTGGGGTGGTTTAGAACGATTTAAGAGCTGGTGGACCCATTAATTAGATTCACTGTAGGGCGAGAAGGTATCCGCGTCAACATATCCCACTATGGCAGGGGTATAATGTGAAAGAACCCCATAACCCCATGCGAAAGTAACGGACGCTCGCAAGCAAGTCTTCAAGAAACCCACAGCCTGTGGTCCTTGTGGTCGTAGGAGATAGAAGAAGAAAGAGTCCACGCCAACCCAAGACCCTAGGGGAAAGTCGAAAAGCACCTGAAAGCCAGCAGCTCGTCAACAAATCCACAATGTCGGCATTCGAAAACTGTGCCTCCATATTCCAAGTGGGGCAAGAGCAGACCCCAAAACCGGTTCGCGGTAGTGAGTGTTAAGCTATAACCAAAATGGTATCCCGAACGATAAGGTTTGGCATCACAGCTTGTGCTTGGTGAGCACTTGACCATGGTTGAACGAAAGCCAGTACTAAACGATACGATGGCAATCGTCCGAATGGACTACTCCTTCTCGCCCTGATTGCTGTTGCTACAATGCCCTCGCCCCAGCCCTGCTACTGGGACTGTCTACTATCAGAATCTCCTGTCCGAGTCCCCGTCCTCAGTTAGACACCGAGAAGTTTTGTGGGGAACTGAGGCAATCATTCAATGTGACAACATGGACAAATGCGGCTCGGGGCTTGTAAATAACGACAAGGAATAAAATACAACGATGAGGTTTCAGACGGGGATAGGAATCCGTGACCGGGTGTTTTTGCCAAACCCACATAGTGACCTGCATGGAGCGATGCAGGAATGGTGCCAACACTTATTTTCTTGCACATGTGTATATATAAATATATATATATATATATACATACATACATACACACCCCCCCCCTCTCTTTCTCTCTCTAAGCACAGGGCGGTTTTGGAGAGTGCAGGTAGGGGCGGGACTGCCCACTCTCCAAGCCCCTGAGCAAAGCAAAGCAAAAGAGAGTGCAGGGACTGCCTGCGCTCCACGCCCCAAAGCAAAGCAAAGAGAGTGCGCCAGGCCGCCGAGACACACAGAAACATGTAGAATCGCTTGCTGTGAGCTAATACTAACAATGTATTCTGATCGGAACTCTTCCCCCGAGGTTTCTCAACCCCACTGCTTCCTTCGGTGTTTCCTTCATCTCTTGAAGTCTCTTCGGCCTCCGAACCTCCCTTTTGTTTTCCAGCAGCCAACAACAAAGCACATACTGTACAATTGCGATGTAAAACCCATAACGCCGGAAGCCCGGTCAACGTTGAAAGGAGCCCGAGGACCAGCCCGTGAAGCCCTTGAGGCAGCTCCTCCGGACAGTGGAGCGTCATGGCTTGGAGCTTGTAAAGTTTCGCAGAATTCGTCAGGGTGTAAACAGTGGCATATACGGTCATACATAACCCGCTCACAATCATAGCCCCATCCCCGAGACTCCTGAACATCCGGAAACCCTAAACAAGGAGTGCGAGTCTCAAGCCACACGTCGAATGAGTTGCAAGCTCAGGAACGCCTCCATCGCCAAGGCTCCTGTTCACCGTTCTGACTCCACGGTTTAGAAGTTAAGGGTTGGCGGAAACAGGCGTGACTTAGTAGTACTGTAGGGTAGTTGACCTTTAACCTTTTTGGGGTATTGAAACACCTATAGAATCTGAACAGCTTAAAGTTACGCCTCGGTTTCCGTAGGACGCAGAGACACCCGACACGCCGACACATCATACTCTCTCTCTCTCTCTCTCTCTCTGCCCCACTCTGTAACGTTAAGATACATTAAGTGCATGATGTTTTTGCTTGTTTGTGTGTGTGGATGCACTGAACACTCCTGCGCTACTGCTCGGACGGAGGTCGAGGTTGTCGATCGCGGCGCCTTCTCCATAGATGCAGCCTTGCCGGACTTATTGATTTCTGTGCCCTTGCCCATCAACCTTACCCTATCTTGCCCTAATGAACGCTTAAGAATGCCTAAAATAGAATTACACAATTATATTACAGCTCCTGCATTGCGAGAGTTTTTGACTCGCCGTCTGAGGTAGCGGGCAATGCCCCACAGTTGTCACTGACACTACCAGTTCCTCCGGGCCAAGGACATCCGCTAATTACTGACTGCTTTGTTGTATTCTTATATATGTTTTGTTATAATTGCTTGTTTAGGACTTACAGGAGGGTTGTTTAGCCTGGCAGGTATTCCCGCAAAATGAATGTCTGTCGATGCTGGTTTAGTACTGACTGGTGATTCCTGGTTTTGGTGTTAACTTATTGTTATTTTTACTCGAGTATTGCTCCCGAGAAAAGGCCTGGCAGCAATGAAACCAAGCTCAGCTCTTATGATATCTGCCTGCACACTCAGATGGTCGGCGAGCTACGGCAGTCTGTCGGTCAGACCCTCGGGCGTGGACTGCGAGGGAAGCCGCACCATTTTAGTTTAGGGCCTTGGGTTTAGGGATTCGGTTTTCGAGTTTGGGGATTAGGGTTTAGTTTAGGGGTTCCGTTGTTGGCTTCAGGGTCTTTGTCAACTCGAAGGTAGCACGAGGCCATCGGAGACCGGAGAACAAAACAACCTCAAGCCCACAGACCTGCAACCACAATGCCGAGAAAGTCTCCCAAGCGTGAGCTCGACGGACGCGACGTACACATAAGATTTGACAGACTGTGATTTTAGACCGGCTTCTTCTCCTGATTCTGTTCTAGCAATGCCAAGGTATCGGCGGGGTAGTTACACCCCTCGTGCCGCATCCTTGCTGTGACATCTTCACTATAGTCACTATAACGGGCTTCATCGTGAATGTTCTGTATGTCCAGGTTGCGTCGAGCCAACTCGACGACTTTCGTCGTCGAGGCCCACGGGGTTGTCTGCTCCAGCGATTCCATTCTGTTGCTTGCTTATCCATGCATACCACGGTGCTGTGGAAGCTCAGGAAGTCAAGGTCTCCCGTATTGTGCAATATGCAGACAAGTCACAGTGCCAGAACCACGCCATTTCAGTAATGACCTGAATGGTGACAGGACTGAATCAATCCCTCTGCGGGCATCACCAGCCCACCAGCAACATCAGATCTACTAGAGTTCTGGGGCGGCAGTGGCTACGATCATGACGGTGCTCACTGTCGTCATTACCATCATCATCATCATCATCATCGGCGTGCCAAATCATGACAACATCCTCAAACCTGCATACCCAGCAACATGCCAGCTGATCTTGCATGGTCAAATGCCGACGTCTCCAAGACAACCTTCGACACTCACTCGGCCTTGTGACATTGTGCCAAGAGATGAAATGCACGAACCGTGGCATGGATGGCGAGTGTAACAGACGGCACGAACCTCTCCCCCCCTCCCATTCCGCCCTAGCGGGTGGCAACAGAGTAAACAACAGGACGCCCCCCGAACCTGGGCTCTGTGTGGCTATCGTCGCCCTGAATCACACCACAGAAGTCGTAAGGCGTCCAATCCCAAAGCACGGGGTCGAAGCGTATTCGCTTGGAATTCGAGTCCAAAGGACCCGACGGCAGACTTTGGAATTTCGGGTTTACGAACGATCTGTTTTCGGCCTTGTTTCATCCCCGTCCCGGGGCGGTTGCCCAACTGGGTACGAAGACTGCTGAAGTGGCTATAAGCCCTTATTTGTGAATGGTGCCGCTTGATGTGTGCGTATGTATATATATATATATATATATATGGATAAAGATATAGGGGTCATGTGCATCCGCAGGCGGCCACATTGCGTGATGCTGGAAGTGGATACGCAGCGGACATGGACCTCACTCCGCAGGTGGCTTGCGCTGTGGGTACGTTATCGGTTCAGCAAGATGCGAATGGGCCGTTTCTTTGCAATCATCGCAAGGATGCTTCGCCGCAATCCTTCTGCCGAAGCCATCATTTCAACCGAATCATCCTTTTTCATGCTTACCTTAGACTGGGTTCAGGCTTCAGGGGGCCGTGCTGTCTCTGTGTCCGCCGTTTGTTCCATTTTTGACCGTCAAGCGTATGACCCGCATGGCTGTGAGCAGCATGTCGCCAAGGTGGACCTTCCAGCAACCCGGCAGAACAAACTCGCCAAGACTTGATTGCAGGTGCAGAACAAATCGTAATGCCGCGAGTTCACATTTTCAAGTTGTTTCTGCCTGTTGGCTGAATCATCACGTCGAAGAGACGAAATGTGCAGATACCCACGTGCCCTTAATCGACGGGTCCCGACGTCCAAACGTATGGATGCGTCGCTGTGGGGGAGGTAAGGAAAAGCTCTCCTGAATATTAACAGGACTGACTCATCTGCTTGTTGCAACGATACGGACACGTGCGCACAAGTCTCGCGCCATGGTCTTTCACTCTCCACTCTCCGACAATCTTTCCCTCCCACATGCGGTAGGGTTTACGTGAGGATTGTTGTGGTGAGAATTCCAAGGTCTCCTCAGCATTTCGATGAGTGTATATGCTGGGGTGCTATTATATGCCCAAGGCCGGCGCTCACATGCTGCGGGCACCGAACTTCACCGTGCGTGTGACTTCGCCCTTCCGTGCACTTCCCAAAGATCGGCGAGCAGAGCTGGCGGGGCCGCCAGCAAAGTGGTTGTTGATTGTATCTGTAGTTTGTATCTTGCAGTTATATACTGTAGTTGTCAGTCGCAGTTGAGGTGTTGTAGCCGCACTTGTAGTAGCAATGCTGGCAAGAGCCGTGGTAGCGACAGTGGCAGTACTAGTCAGAGCCAGTCGCGATAGCAGTGGCGGCTGGCAGTAGCAGTCTTCGTAGTGGTGGGGGGTCGTTGTCGTCGTCGTCGTCGTCACAGTGCTGGCGCGGCTGTTGTCACTGATACTGTTATGATGCCGTCGTGATACTGTTGCTTTCGCCACTGAAACTGCGAGTGTTCTTGCAGCTGTTCAGTGCCTTTGTTTCTGAGTGGTGTTCAAGTTGCGCAGCTTTTCCAGGACCATCGTCGATAGTGCAGGGATCCGCTAGTGCTGTAGATGCCCTGGAAGCTTCGCAAGTCTTAGTGCAATGTATGTCTCAGACTAGCCACGGCCTCTAACACTCTTCAGCCTAGCTCCGCGCAGGCTGACAGCTTGAAAAGAGCCTTGGCACTCGAAGATGAGATTAGTTGATGGTTGGGGCTGAGGTGAGGCGGTGGGATGGACTCGAGCGTATCGCCTTGGGTGATTGACTTTCGAGCAGGTCTCGTGCGAGACTTTCGGAGATGTGCCTAGGGGCCTAGTCATTCTGTGATAAGCCTGTAGTCGGAAAAGATGATAAAAGGGGCGAGTGGAGAGGCTACTGGCTGCTGTGTGCCATGCTGAAAGCTGAAGATTTTGAGGCAAGCTGACGAACCTCCTGCCATCGCTACTTTGCTGAACAGCCTTGCTCATGTTTCCTGCCGCCGGACGATGTGCGAAAACTGACCCCTAGCCTAACCACATCCTTCCACATCTAGAAGCTAGTTCCGCACAGAGCTATCCGAATCTGGTAAAAGCCCGGACCCTAGCCTTACAATGCAAACCTTACAGTCAGCCGTATACTTGAGTATAATAACCTTTGGATTCGGAGGTTCTTGCTTCCCGCTTACAGCGAAAAGCTTGGTCGCCTGGCTCCTTCCCTGCAGCCAGCACACGTACTGCACAGTTTACTGCCGGAGAATCAGAGGTTGAGGATGCTAATGTAGGGACCTAAGTAATTACCAACACTATTTTGGGTGTTCCTTATTCTAACTATAGCATATTAGGCCCCAAAACCCTATTCTAATTATTAAGGCCCCTATAGTAGGTTTTTTGGAGTTGAGGGCATGATTGTTTGGCGCTTCAGGGTTGAGTGTTTAGGGTGTCAGGTTTTATAGGGTTCGGGGATGTTCAGGACTAGAATACATGTCCTGGCGCAAAGCAAGACTAGTCGCGCAGTCCAACGCAGCCAAACCTAGACGAAAAGTGTCGAGCCAAGCAAGTCCTTTAACCTGCCGAGATCTTAGGCGAATCTTAGAAAATTAATCTTAAACATTAAACACCTTGTTTCCGAGTGTTCGCTGCCGTGGCCTCGAAGAAGCTTGGATGATTTTCGTGATAAGTGGTAGACTTAGAGTCCGAAACATGTCAGCCAGTCTCGCCAGCCGAGGTCCCGGACCAGTCGCTTCCGTTGACTCCAGACCCGACGCCGCTGGAAGAAGTGCGGCGATTGGATGAAGTCTTTGGGGGCGACAGGCGCAGCTACAGTGCTACAGTTCTCTCATGTCCAGATCTCAGGTAGCTGGGAGCTTTCTTTGCCCTGTGGGAAGGCTTGGATTCTGGAGGAGGGCGTTTAGACATTGCGTCAACGCATAGGGAAGCTTGTAAGCTAGCATCCTTCCTTCTCCGGATCAAGAGGTCTGTTCGTGTTGACTGTATTTGCCGCGACGAATGCCGTCAGGCAGCTTGACCGATTTCGTGCAGATTTCGTCTTCGCAGAGTTCCGGCCTGAGCTCTTGCAATGCATCTTGTCTTCCTGCTGAGCGAGAAGATGTTTATGGTTTAGTACCTGCAGAAGGAGTTGAGTTGCATGATCGCTACTGTCACGGAAATCATTTCAGCATTGTGACTTACTATCTTCTGTACAGCAGAGGATCATGTGACTGTGTCCCGGCGCTTGTCAGGGAATGTGCTCGGACGTTTGTCCACGATGTCGAACGGAGCAAATGAGTCCATCCATCAAATCACCAACCCTCTCTCACTCTGTGCATTCGTTTCATTTAGAATTTAGATGTTGATTTGACTTCTTTGTCAATTCAGTGCAGTTGGATGTCTGTTTTTCGGTATTGATGCTCCTAAGCAGCTTTTGACTCTCTCTCTCTCTCTCTGTATATATGTACATGTATAGCTGTATATAATCTGTATATATATATATATATATATATAATCAACGCACACATCTCTCTCTGCAAACATGCAGAGACTCTCGTGTGTGCGCTCCAACCGTGCGGTTGGAGGATATATATGTGTGTTGGAGAGATCCTCTATGCAATGACCTGTTCCAGGACATACACGACAAAGTGCACAATGTTGAAGCCTGAAGTGCTCTACCTGTTTAGCTGCATGGCCAGGTACGTATTGCTTGCATCGTGCGGGCATGTGCTGGCCTAGTTTGTTTATCGTGCCAATTTGCTAGCCAAATTGATGGTTACTGGGTCAGCTGCTCGCACCCGGCGACCCTCAACAAGATGACCGGCAATCCTTTCTCTCAATGCTTCACATGGCAAGAACAGGAAAGCCCTGAGCATTCACGATATCATTCTTCTGCAACATGACAACATGCACTTAAAAAACTGTGCTAGATGCTTGGCCTTTGCTTGGAGGTTCGATCCGATGTACGGCCCTGTTGGCTCGCGCCTCAGAGACGCTACGGCCACTTGCGGGAGCTGAGCTGCAGCATGTGGCTACTGAAGCGAAAGACGCAGGTGCAGCAGGAGTTTCTGAAGCCACAGCACCAACAGAGTGATAACCTGAGTGGTGGGCAGTAGTGGCAGCGACGACGACGACTCGTAGTACCACCACCGCTACTTGGAAATCCAACTCTTGCACTGCACTGGTGGAGCAAGATTTGTTCGGGAATGGTTGTGTCGTTTCGTTGCAGCAATGATTCGCAGAGAACAGATAAGAGGACAATGTTCATGTTCCTGAATGCTCTCCGAAACGGATCCTGCACGTCGCAGCACCTGCGGCTGACCTAGTGAAAATGTCGCATTGCCCGAGGACCTATTCTGGCCTATTATTAGGTGTCCTCTGTCAAGGATGATCCTCATTGCCTTTTGTAAAAGCTTGTAATTCCGATCTCGGGCTCAGCTGACCTGCTTTTGCAACTAGTTGCATGGTTCTCCCATGCATTCTGGGTCGAGGCTTGTCTCCATTGGAGCGTGAGCGGCGGCTGTACGTGCCTGGGACAAGCTCTCTTTCCACGAGAGAGATATTCCTGTGATGGGTCCCTGTTTTCTTTGGCGATCTCTACGTTCTTGATGTTGCCTCTCTTCGTCGTGGCCTCTTTCCTGCATCCGAGGCAGAGGATTTCCTGCGATTGATGATCGCCGGGTCCACAGCCGCGCTTGTGAGGCACAATTCCTACATAGTTGTTGCCTTATTGTTGGGGCGATATTGTTGTGGTGGTTTTCATCGTTGCTGTAGCTGTTGTCGTTGCTACTGTCAGCTGTCATAGAAGCAGTGATTACAGTAATTGCTGGTGTTGACCTACTCCCTGCATAACGTCATTCAGAAACCCGCCGGGAGTGTAGGCACATGGTGTGACCTGCACTAAGTCACGTAGCCAGTATAGTTAAGGTGTGAGTGTCCACGCATAGCAGCACTGACGCGTAAAAAGTGGCATCGATGCATCCAGTATGAAAGCGTGAAACTCTGAGAGCCACCAAGCAGGACCCTGCTGTTCCTGCCAATTCAGAACGTGAAGGCCTGCAGGATTCCGGCTTGTTTTCTATCTATAGCCAGTCACCTTCCAGCTATCGGAATCGACTCATGGCCCACGGAACCCTTGATCCTGCAAGATCGTTGCGTTTAGGCTCGAGACCATCCCGTTTGTGAGGGCTCTCTCTAGTCGATGCTAGCGTACGGATGTGTACAGGATTAAATGCTTGAGGACGCTTGATGTCGCTTACGCTTTATTGAGCCGCTTCTATCATTCTTTTCTCGCACGGGTCGGTCAAGAGTTGAGATGAACGCCTACACCACAAGCCCCCTCATGGCACTAAGCCATTGCAGTCTTTCAGGAAAAAGCCCCAAACCGCAAGAGCATAAAAAGCAACCGTAGCCCTGCATCCGGTTCTTTCTTCCAGGTTCGAATGCAGACAAATCCCCAGCTCGGCGGTGGCAACCTCGGCGCAGCCCTGCAGGAGATTGCCACGCCACTGGGTGGCAGCCTGATAGGCATAGTTCGGCTTGGGGAAGCAGTTCTGCAATTCTAGATTAGTGGTTCGCGAGTACATTGACATGATTGTGGGGTATTTTGGATGCCCGGTTTCTGCGTTACCTATACTCTCCGAAGTGGAGTCGTGCCTAGTCGTTGAAAACAAGGAACACCCCAAAAGGTGAGTTGCAATGTAGACTAAAGATATGGCGTGTATACAGGCGGTCCTCGGGTTGGAAGGCCTTAGTTCACGGAGTCTTGCGCTGTGAAAGATAGGCGAAGCTCCAAACCCTCCGTGCTCTTAAAGTAAGCGTTGCTGTCCCGTGTATGCCCTTGTTGTCCGTTGTAGTTCCTTGGCCCTCTGTGCTTTGTAGGGTCGAGAGTCGAGACCGTAGAAGCCGTAAGCCATAGAACCCATAGAATGGCATCGTCCAATAGAAACCCTGCAAATCGTCTCCGATCTGAAGATCGCTGCACCGGGCAAGGCAGGGATGGCAACGGAGGGATAGTCAGTGTTTCTCCTTGTTGAAGAATAGTCTGTGTGGGAGGCTGGATATTCGTCTATGGAATTAGTAGCTGGTTGTTATGAATTTACTCATCATTGTCGGTGTTGCTGGATTAAGTGATCTGGCTAGACATTCTGTAACAGATGAGAAATGTCTCAACCTAGCTCGTGATGTAATGACTGGGAACTGGGCTGCATTGGATGGTTCATGGTTTCTGATGGTTCTGAGGGCCATTTGCCTGTTCTCAGTCATTCCCAAGATGTGAACTGGGCACGGGGAGCCTTGCCTACTGTACCTTGCGTGAGTGTGAGAATCGAAACCATCCGAGAGGGTGTATTCAGCTAGAGTGGTGCGAGACCTTTCTCGTTCGAGGACTGAGCCGCCTCTCGCGTTCTTCAAAGCCGTGGCTTCCTGTCTGCGCAATTTCAAGATATTTCAAGAGCCACATCCAAGTCTTGGGAGGGATGGGTGGGGGATGTGCGACAGCAGGAGATCGGGATGCGTTGCAGCATTGGCTTGGAGAAGGGGAAGTCGATGAAGTCCCTGAGCTAGAGAAAATACAGAAGCTGCCAAAGAAAGCCGCTTGTGCTATCCGAGGACGTTGCTGCAATCTATGCCATCGTGTTCGGCTTTTTTAGCTTCGGTGTGAAGGAGAGGGGATGATCAACTGGATGTCAGTGGGATTCCTAGAGTCCGAGCAGCGGGAAGATGCTGGAAAGCAGTCAAGTAGGTATGTTGGCTTAACTGCATGGATCATTAATCAAGATCGGCATTCACACCATGCCTCATGCTTACCGCATAAGCTTGGGCTTATGGTATAGGAACACGAAGAATCGCAGAATTTGGGTCATGCTCAGTTGTCATTGTGATGCCGTCGTGAAAGGAGTTCCTGACGAGGGAGCTGGTGCAGCCTGGCCGAACCCACCAACGGCAACGGAATCAACCACGAAACCAATGCATTATATACTTATATTGCGTAGCTTTGTACAACCATTTCCTGTCCGGCACACGCACCCCGACTAGACATGCGCAGCTCGAACCAACAGCCTGGCTGTGCACAAACGTGTTGTTGGACTTGATCGTGGCTTTGGGGCCGGGTCGAGTTGCCGCTTATATGATGTGAAGTTGCTCGCAAGTCACGAAAATGAATTGAAATCAGGATACAGTTCCCTGGCCTTAACGAGCTCGTTGCCATTGACGCTTGGCTCGGCCTTTGTTCGAGTGTCGTGCAACCCAGCGATACCACCAGAAAGCAGATTCAGGTTTGCGGTGGGGCACACAGTAGCTGATAATTGCATGGTCGCTGCACTCACACGACTCAATGCTGCAGATTTTGGCCTCCATCGTCAGTGTCTTTGTCACCATGGCAGCCGGAACCCCTTGGGAAGTGTTGTGCCTTGGCCAGCAACCTCATGACACCGAAGCAACAGATCAACTCTCTAACAATTGTAAAGAATCGATCGCCTATGAGTCTCTTAGCAGGAGACACCGCCGCCCCGTCACAAGGGAGCAAACAATAACGTTTTCATCGCACACCTAGGAATGCAGCCTCGGGAGACGTAATGGGCAGCAAATTGTATGGAAGACATAATCATAATCACATCGTAGGAAACTGCCGTAAGCGCTTGGTTCTCGTTCATCCCCAGGACGACCAAAGTCATGGCTGGCGGGGGTTCTGGCGAGTCTGGTGGTCGCTTCTGGGGCCTGTCCCTGCTTCGGGATCAGCTGCAGGCTGACCCAAAGAAGGCAGGATGGGCCAGGACTGGACGGCAGAACTGGGTGAAAAGGGTGTCCGTTCGGGTCACTGTGAAAGTGTCGGCACATCCTGCATTGCTACTTTCAAGCGCGGGTTGATCTGAACTTGGATCCCTGGTGCTTGTATTCGTGCTGCCATGAATCAGGATTGTTACACATTCGGCATCACTGGTTCTATTGACTTCTATTGCTTTCGGTTGGCTACTCGGAGGCTGCTGTGGAGCTTTACGCGGAGTACTGGCTTCTTAGTGGCCTCTCGGTGGCGGATGCCATGGTGACCCTGAGGACGTGGAAGGTTGCGGATGGTCAGTCCTCATTGAGTCCTCATTATGATCTAACTGCACCATCTTCCCCGGATGCTCCAGCCTCTTGTGCGGAGGACTCACACCGACCCCAATGCAACACGAAAACATGCTACACCCATTGCTCGTCGTGAACACCGGTTCTAAGGAACAGGCTCCCATCCGGTTTGTACCGCTGCAGAAGCACACACACACACATATATATATATAAATAATATATATANNATATATATATATACATACATAGGCTAGTGAGATAGTGCATGCAAGCCTCCACACATAGCATTCCGAGATCTATGCCTGGACAGCGTCTGCTCATCCTGTCGTTCGGATGTAGTATAGTGAAGCAGACTTGTCATCATCAGCCTCTGGTACAGTCCCTAAAGTACCAAACTGCAACGAGCAAGTACGACATACTACTACAAGATAAGGTTGTGCCTGCACAGCAGCCGTGACGAAACCTTGCAGCCAGGTAAATGCGGAGTGTTAATTCTCCAGCCACCCCCCGTCCACATTCGCCAACACCTGACTGCTAGTGGCCATCAAATTTGGCCATGAAAGCAATCAGGAAAGGAGCTGGCGTTCGTTGTCACGAAGTTCTTGGTGTTTGACTCTTTGCGTGTGACCCAGCTCGCACTGGATGCGCTGCTCCCTCCACTAACCCCTCGCTGCAGAGCCGCAACAACATCAATAAGAGCAGCCACCGCCACCACCATCATAACCACAACCACCGCCACCACCA